AGAAGCTTGACTGCGAACGGTTGTCTGAAGGTGAAAGCTCCAGCCAGCGTGTGAGAAGATGCATTCTAATGGCTCGGACTTGGATTGGGACCTCAGTAGCGTCTAGGTACTCTTCTGGTTTCCATGTACTCACGCTGTGCTCGTAAAGGTGTAAAACACGTACACCTGCCGTTTCACTGAACCCCAGTGGCCTCGCTAGGCCTGCACTGTCGTTGGCATGAATGAAGAACTCCTCTGCTCATGCCTTCCTACCATGACCAGTACAGAAACAGGACAGCTCAGTTGTGAATGGGATGGCGAGCGGCGAAGCACCGGTCGGTGGCATAGCCCGCAACAGCCATACAAGGCGTTTGCTGCGGCGCGTGCATTTGTCAAGTTTGTTCTCGTGGCATTGATTTGTCACGTTTCTAACTTCGAATCTGCGCCGCAAGCAATTGAAAACGGGCGCATTTCAGCATATGTCAGCACGTTGGCTGAGTGTGTCTTCAACTAAATGGAAGTAAAGAGTAGAAGTAGATTCCACATGTCGCCTGCCGTGTTTCATCTGCTGTAGAAGATAGCAGTTGCCAGCATTTTCTTCTTGCTGTACCTACTGTAGATGCACCGGAAAGATATCGTATGTAAGGCCCGTTGTAGGGCTGAGCCAAAGCTTGAAATAGCATGCCGACAATATTGGAATCATTGCAAGCGTGTTTGCCGGCTGATTGGCGTGGTCAAGCTGAGATGGCCTACCAGATGTGGCAGCCCGGTAGCAGAGCTTGAAGGAATTTTCACTGCACGTCTTCACAGCACCTCGCCTTGAGAACGACCATATTTACGTTGAACACTCAGCAAGGCAAGTGCATGAGTTTGCCAACCCCGGCACCATGGATGGACACGCAGCTGGTGCTTCCGGGACAAATGCAGCTTCCTACTCCGCCGGCGGCTGCAACAGTGTCAATGCCGAGGCTCAGCGATGAGTCGTTGCAGGAAAGGCTGCGAAGCCTGGAGTTAGAATGCCAACAATTGCGTGACAGCAATTCCCGGCTGGAGCTGGAGAATTCCAAGCTGAAGCTGCAAGTGAGCTCTTCACAGGGATTGCAGCCAGTTTCGGAAAAGCTTGTATCACCAAGCCGGCTAGACGGTTCGATCTCCGTGGCAGAGACGCAGCATCAAGATCTGCGAAAGCGCATGCGAGCGATGATGGAGGAGCAAAGGCGGTTGGTAGATGAACTCCAACTCGAGATTGCCGAGGTGCGAGTGCCGTGCGTAAATGTCTGCACTGTTGAAATGAGTGTGCTTTGCTTCTTTGACGTTCTTTTGTTGCCAGGACATGGGCCAGCTTCAGGTTCGATCCAGCAAAGAGCACCAGCCACAGCCTCAGCTCAGAGATCAAAGCAACTGCGGCGATACGACCGGCCGTGGAATTGTGCTCCTACTCGTTTGCAAAGTGCAGAGGGCCCAAGTGTCGCGATTCTTGCTGGTTTGGCTGACAGGATCACGGTAGGCTTGAGTGCACCCTTTGGGAAGTCGCAAGGAAAAGAGCAGGCGGGGCAGGCACCAAACCCTGCACCTGCTGGAGCCCTGAAGCAACGATTCCGACTGCTCTCCACAAGTTGCGTCGCAGCTTTTCAGAGCCGGGTCAGGACTACTCCTACCCTACAGGTCTTGAGTTTTTGCTTTGCCCATGGTGTGGAGGACTTTGTTGTCATGTCGTCCCTCTTGGTCCTGCCATCCCAGTCTTACAACACGACAGCAGGGTCAAGAGCTGTGTATTGACAGTCACGTTTAGAGCTTGAGCATTCTTTCCTTCCAAACCTAGGCCGATGCCGCTTGCATCAGCAGCTCTGACTGGGTCATGCAGAAGTGACCCCAGCGTGCGGCCCTCCGCGCACACCGCACCGCAAGACCTTACTGAACCCCGAGAAGCTGCAGCACCACCAGAGCAGGACCTGCCGGATGCTTAGATGCCGAGCACGGACCTGTCCAATGTGTCCTGTCACATACTGTACTCTTTTTGAGGCTTGGTTCTTGGCCCACGGTATCCCAGCCTTGGCTGTCGTCGAGAGTGCCGGAACACACATTGCCAACGAGAACGAGCAACGGTCGCGGCTACATGCCTGTGCCCGACGAGTTGAATGCGCCCTGTGAAGCAGAAGCACCACCAGAGGAGGATTCGCCAGGCACTTACTGTAGATGATCTTAGATGCACACGGCTTGTTTTCACCGTGGCACCCAAAGCACCTCTTCAAGTCTGTTTCATGGCGCAGACAGTGTTTGTGAAATCACCGGTAAATGTCGAATGTAGACTTTGCATCTTAGCTTCCGATGTCATGCGTGGCCTTGGGAAGTATAATATTGACCTAGGCCAATGCCAACGAACAGAATGGACGGCAGTCAAAGCGGCAGACCTCTCTCTGCATCAGCTCCTGTCCCTCCGCTGGACCTGCCTGCACGCTATATGCACTCGTCGCCTGACGAGTTGCACTCGCCCTGGGAAGCGGCGGCACCACCGGAGGAGGAGGAGGAGCCGTTGGGTGCTCGGCTTCGCGCAAGGTGCTCGTTGAAAAGCGAGTCGAGTTCCACGAAGGATAAGCTACCGCATAGTCGGAGCCGAAAGCGAATTCCAGCACTCGGTTGACTCGGCATCCGACTCAGGCCGTCAGCTGCAAGCTTCGCCTCCAGCGCCCGCCCGCGGAAAGGCGGAGCTGCCATGCCGGAAGAGCCGAACGCCCCGAGTGAAGCGCCGTCCGACGATGACGCGCCGCGTTCGCTGGGCTCCCAGAAGAGGGCCCGCTCACGCTGTCAAGAGCACTTTACAAATTCGCTGAAGCCACAGCACCGAACCTGCGAAAGTTCTAATGATGTCTAATGCTTTGTGAGTGGCTCGAAGCAGTCTCTCCTGGAAGCCGCTGCAGTATCGCCAAGGCCGAGCGTTTGGCCCCCGGGCCCATCGCCACTCCAGCCTGCAAGGCGCTTCTCTGGTTCCGACGTGGCCTCCATTGAAGCGCCACCGGAAGACGAGGGCCCACCCAGGCTGCTTGGCTTAGCAGATGTCGGCCGGCGCACCTGTCACTGCACAGTGCTTAGGTCTGTCCTGGTTGGTGTTGTCTGCTGCCTCCGCTCATGCCTACTTGCACGTATGTGCACTCCGATTCACCCGACGTTCGGAATCGTCATCCACCTGCTGTTTGCATGCAATTCCAGCATATTCGCAGGATCGTCCGAAGTATCCCACGCGGAGGCTTCATTCACATTCACACGGCTTTGAAAACAGCACTGGTTTCTCGAAGTGTTTGGCTGAAAATCCCCGGCGGCACAATTCTTTTCGTAATTTTCCGCCGAACTTGCTTCGGCTGTCCTGACCCGCGCGACAGATATCTACACTCACTGACCATCGATCACATATATATATATATATATATTAGACTGTCTCGCTTCCTGCACTGCAAACCTTCTGCGGGATTCGTGGGAGGAAAAAATTCTGGGCGCGGCAGGAGCCCTTGCCTTTCAGCACAATCTGACGACGCCAACAAAAGCACCAAATGGGGCTTCGATTGAGCTGACAAACCTATGCAACTGTGCCCAGACACTGACAAGTTGGGCCGGCTTGGGGCTTGGAGCATTGACAAGGTCAGCCACTCCCGGCGATCCATCCGATGAGATGCTTGGATGCACTTAAACATCCTGCCACGGCCACAAAAAGTCCACGAAGGAGATACGGGGTTTGTCTGAGATGGTGCCGCCAGGAAACCGGAGCCCATGATGAGCAAGTCGCCAGTTCAAGCATCCGCGGGTAAGGCAGAACATGCGGATGCCACACAAAAAAGCGACGAGAAGAAGCAGGTCTTGCAGGCACCCGGGCAGATATTGCATCATATTGCATGTATGCGTGCGTCCATGAGTGTTTCGCCAGTAAGACTGACGAAAGCATCCCCCAGCAGCCAAGGAGGGGGTGATTCTGCTGCAGCGGTATGATCGCAAAAGCAGCTGTTTTCAATTGCGCTTGTGCAACAAGAAGCTCGCCAATCTAAACTTCACCGTGGACATCTCGAAATCAGTGAATCTGGACCGCTGGGGAGGGCAGGTTCGCACATAACGATTTGATTTCAGTTTTCAGCGCTGGAGTGGTGGTCTTGCTTCATGTCCCGCATATCAATATCCCACCGACTACGACCCAACACGAAGGATGAACCTGAGGCCGTAGGAATCTGTCACAGTCGCACCCTACCCTGCATTCATTCCAGAGGAACTTCGCGCTTCGCCTGGCAAAGGGACCTCGCACACGTGCAATGCCCAAGCCCCGGATCTTGAGAGCCGGGTGCACAGAGAAGGTTGCAACAGATCAGTGAAGCACGTAGGTGCCGCCGGGATTGACGGTGGAGCTTTGCCAAATCGGCCAGGTCGGTAGTCCGAGCTGCGCGTCGCCCTGTGCAGAGTGTTTGCCCTGAGCCCATGAAGGTTGATCCGAAGAAGGGGTACACGAAGCTCTGCTGCACTCACATGTCCTCCCATCCCCCATCTTCTTGTTTCCGTATTTAATGAATGTTTGCTGTACTTCAGACACTGCAGACTAGGCACCTGCCCAACTGGGGGTGCCCAACGGAGTCCAACTGAAGGTCCCCACCCCCCACCGTGAAAGATAAAGTTAACCCCCCCCTCCCCGCCCCNNCCCCCCCCCCCCCCCCCCCCCGTGCCGTGAAAGATGAATGTTCATCTCTCACCCCGCTCCCGGCCCCCAACCCGCCTGCCGTCAAAGATAAACAGATAAACGTTCATCTTTCACCCCCTTCCCCGGCCCCCAACCCCTCCGCCGTGAAAGATAAATGTTCCAATGCTCATCTTTCACACCGCTCCCCGCCCCTAAACCCCTGCCATGAAGCTAAATCCCAACATATCCCAACCCTCCAACGTGACAGATAAAAGTTAATCTTTCATCTCAGTTCATGGCACCCCCTCCCCGCCGTGGAAGATCAAGTTTTGTTTTTCAGCCCTCGCCCCGCCCGCAACACACAGCCGTGAAAGATAACATTTGATCGTTCACTCCCCGCCCCCAACATACCCGCCGTGAAAGATGTGAAAGATGGAATTTAATCTTTCACCTCCCTCTGCCTCCAACCCCGCCCCGAGAAAGAGCACCAATCATCGTTGTCAGCTGTGTGAGCTCAGGCTTCGGGCCACGTACAGCTGGGTGCCAAAGCCAGCAGATCGTAAGCTGGTGCAGCAGCAGACAGCAGAGGAAGTGAAAAGGCCTGGTATCCGAGAGACCACTGTGAGGGGTTGCAATCGAATCAGTGAGAGGCGGCACGACATCGTGGCGAACCTCAAAACCTGTAACATTGTTCCATCCAAGTTCGATTCGGCAGCCAAGATCGAGGCGTCATTCTCCGAGGGTCTTTGCGACTTGTTGTTTCGTAGGTCCGAGCTTTCCTGCTGAATTGTGCGCATTGTGGCACAGGAGGCGTGCTCGAAAAGAGGCATTTCGCAGCCGTCCATTTGCACCAAGACAGGTGGAAAGTGCCAGCATGCTGCCGTTGCATGTCGCTGCCAAGGTTCATTGATGCGGAATTCTTCCCCGACGATACTGCGCTGTTCAACCAACCGCAGAGTCAAGACAACCCTTGTGTTGTTTGGAAGCGCCCCAGCGAGTTCTGCAACAAGGGAGAAATCAGAGTCTTCTCTGATTCGATCACGCCATGTGACATCCACCAGGGAGCTTTGGGTGATTGTTGGTACCTGGCAGCTCTGGCAGCCGTGGCAGAGCAGCCTCCGCTCATCCGCGAACTCTTCAGCAGCGACAAGCACAGCAGCCTTGGTGTCTACGAAGTCTCGTGCTTCAAGAACGGACAGCTGACCAAAGTCATTGTGGATGATCTGATCCCATGTTCCCCATCGACGGGCAAGCCCTGCTATGCACATGTCAACGTCGAAGGGGAAGGCGAGATTGGGGAGTGGCGAACCTGCTGGAATAATTGTGCGTTCGACTGTGGTGCTCCGTTTTCCTTGAAAGCTTTGCAGAGCGAAGGCTGCGATGGCAGCCCGCAGAGGTAGCTAGCGCCAAGCCGTCTGAAGAATCTCGCAGGCCAGACGGTGAACGAGCTTTGGGTGGCGCTGTTGGAGAAGGCATGGGCCAAGCTGCACGGTTCGTACGAGCAGATCGAGGGTGGAATTCCGTGCTTCGGCTTCATCAGCTCTGCTGTCTTTGCCAAACCGTCGGATTCATAAAGCACACCAGCCGTGTCTTAACGGAACTGAGCCCGTCGCATGCCCCGTCGAGATGCAAGCTCTGAGGTACCAAGCATTGATGGATTTGCTGGGTGCAGCTGGCAAGCGGCCGCTCGAGGTTCACTTCATCCGAGTCATGCTAATATGCTTGTGTACCGTTGTCGTTTCATGTGAACTCGGAATTGCAAGGTATCAACTCAAGGGACAGCTCCCACGTGGTTTTGCAACGCCGGACAGCTTCTTTCAAGCACTGCAGCTCGGCTTCGACAGACTAACGCCGTTTAGCCCCAGATACCTTAGATGCTTCAGTCGGAACTCTCTGTAGCGATGTCGGAGAGCTTCTTTGGGGAACTCGCTTGGCAGTTGGCTGACTCCGAGGAGCACCTTCGACACCAAAGGATATGTGATGGTGGCTGGCACGAAGGGTGTGGATAACCTGACAAAGGGTGGAGGGAAAGCTCCCCTGGATGGCTTGGTGCCGGGACACGCATACACTCTGCTCACGGTGCATGAGGCATGCGGTGTTCGACTCGTTCGTTTGCGAAATCCCTGGGGTGATCACGAATGGACTGGCGACTGGAGCGATAAGAGTGCTTGCTGGACCCCAAAGACAAAGCAGGCTTTTGATGTGGAAGTCGATGACCATGACGGAGCTTTCTGGATGAGCGACACCGATTTTCTGAAGCATTTCTCATGCGTGGACGTGGCATTCTTTGACAGAACGTGGGCGACTGCTCGGACCAAGCTGACGACCATCGGAGCGTCGATGTGCAATCAGCTCCTGCGATTCGAAGTGAAAGCGGCCGCCCGTGGCTTCGTGAGCTTGCTTCAGAACGACCACCGGATCAAAGGCCTCAGCTTGCACGATTTGCTTCACTGACAGTCTGACATGTGGCCGCCCCCCTCCACCCGAGCAGCTGTTGCCAGGATCTCCATCATACATGACGAGCCTGAGAAGCATGCAGATGTGCTAACTCATCCGAGTATCTAGTCAACGGAGCAGCTTAGCTTCCAAGACGCTCTAAGGCTCCAGTTCGCTGTGTACGGGCCGCTGTCTCCACACCAAGCACCGGAAGTGCTCCATAGCCGCAGATCGGATGAGCGCGAGCTCGTCGAGGAAAGGGATCGGGTAAGATGCGAGCAGCCACGGGGCTTGCGTGTCACAGTGGCAGGAGATCCCACGGCAGTTGACACCCGGAGTCACTTGGCCAAATACATCCAATCGGCTATGCGCCAAGACCCATGCCCCTCGTCTCCGCGCGCACTTGAGGAATACTTCGTGGCCGTTTGGACTCCTGACAAGGCCTGCATGGAAGACACCTGTCGCTGCACAAGCGAGCTCTCCGACCGTGTGCAGTCGGCTGAGGAGAAGGATCGAAATCTCACCTTGGTGCTACAGTTGGATGAATGGGGCAAGGGCACGGGCAGAAGTCTTGCGACTCTGACGGCACTTTGTCCTGGGTAATAGTTGCTTCACTCGCTAGGGCTGCTCGACGCCGAGACGACGCCGCAGCCAGAACTCAGGCGATTCACCCGACGCCGATCGATGAGCACCAAATGAGCGACGGACCACATTCCCCATCATGGAGCTCCCAGATCAAGAAGCCAATCTGGACGGCTTGGTCTTGAATGTGTTCTAGGAACTCAGGCGTGCAGGTGCCGGCAGCCGAGTTTGCTTTGACTGGGACATCTCACTCTCTCCTTGGCAATGTCTTCGATTCCGGCCAAGCTTTGCTCTCCATTGTCACTGACAGGTAGATCGGTACTATCGGTACTGGACAATGCCCGTGGAGATCTGATTTGGCTGCGTCAACCAGTTTTCGACCGAAAGCTAGTTAAGTCGTTTTTCCCTTCTTGTTAGCTGGGCTTACAGCCGCCTTTGCGGAGATGCGAGCCGAAGGGGCGAGAAGTGAAGTGTTAATGTTCGTAATCTTCCAAAGTTAAATCATGTTTGACTGAAGCTACTGTTCTTGGGCTCAAAATGCCGAATGTGGAATCAGCAGTCGCGGAGTAGAAATGTGTCACCTGACCCCAAAGTTGGGCAGTTGCCTTTGCGCTTCTCAGAAGCGTTTCGGTCTATGGCGGCGAAGCCAAAGACCAGGAGGCAGTTGCAGTTCAGGTTGCATGTGGTCTGTTGAGCTGCGCATGGGCATCTGCTACAGAGACTTTCCGAGACTTCGGCATGCTTTGGCTGATGATCAGTATAATAGAAGGAAGTGGCAATGTGGTGCAAATTCCCGAGCCTAACAGGCCTGCATGCGAAGTTATCTTGTCTGGAGTCTAGCTAGAGTCTAGTGTGCACGAGCGGCAAATGCTACTGACACTGCCAACGGCCTTCGTCTGTATATGGGGATGGTGTGGAGTATCTCAGATGATATTCCATCAAGCAATATGGCCCTATGAGCACGCCGGCCATGGCATTCCGTGCCCAGTGAGTCGATAGTGCCCGGCCTCCTATATGAGCTTCTTATCTCCGTTTGGTGATGCTGCGGTGGCAGTGCGATCTAGGGGTAGAATCTGTGGCACTGAGGCTACGATGAGGCATCTGTGAAGTTGTGCTCTCATTTGCTTCCACAGTGACTGCATCCGTGCTAACGACGCCCCGTTTCTATCTATTTATGCGAACAGGGCATGAGCGATGCCTCTTCTTCACGGAGCATGCTGGAAGGTGGAAGCAGCGCAAGAAGACATGCAGACCGTTCTCGAGCCCGCAGATCAACTCCAACAGGCAGCTTCTACCTTGGACCAGTTTGAGGCCCCTTGAGCATTTCTAGACATGCATGTGCTTACTTCTGTGGCCACGTCTGGCTTCGTCGGCCGGTAGACATCGGTAGGCCAATTGTGCCGCAGATGTGATGTACTGTCCGAAGCGATCGCCACTTTCCCGCTACGCTTGCAGTTAGCAAGTTGACAGAAGAACAGAATTGACAGCACCACGAGGGATGACAATGTGCCTTGAATTGGCCGATCCATCCTGTTGATGCCATGACGGTGCGCAGCAGAGTCACGCAGGAACTCGGCCCTACTAGCCCTCAGTGGCCCTGGCAAGCTCATGTGATCGGGCGTTTGCACGTAAGGATGTGGATCCTGATGATATTGAAGCCCGCCCACCGGAAGAGGCCCATAAAACAATCTTTGCGCACGTTTCCTCGAGGTTTGGCGTAGTTTTCAGGCTTGCTTGATGACACCCAGTTGTGATTGCAAGCCCCTGCGACAAAAGCCCTTCGCAACTCGCACATACTCTTTCGTTGGCCAGCTTATGGTCATTCTTGTCATTGTTCAGGGCTTTCTCCCGCCCAAAGGCCAGGGGTGGTCCTCTTGGTCGGCTGTGCAGCAGGTCCAATGCGAAGCTGTTCCTAGTAAGAAGACAGCTGACATTCAGAAGCGGAGCATCGGAGCATGGAGACTTGCTCACGGGTTGCTGCAACCATGATCCTCCTCTTGGTGACCTCTTTTCCCATCTTGTCCCTTCTTCTTCTATCCCCTCCTATTATCGATTCAATCTATTCCTACAGGAACGGCTACACGAACGGCTTGCCCGACTTTCTACCTCGTTTATCACGCGCTTGCTACGCGTCGGCTTCTGTTGCAATATGGTTTTGCTTTTGTAAGGCTCCAGTTCTAGGTGGCATTCTCGAGGCATGCAGTCTTTGTGTCGTTAGTTTCGTTAGTTCTCTTCTTCCGCCTATTTAGCCTGTTTGGCTCGTCGCCTGTTCAAACTGTCTGTAAAGTGTAACGTCCTTGGCATGCATTCCCTTGCCCCGTCAATGCGTCCAATCCTCTCCCCTGCATCATCTCGCCACTTCTAGAGAACATCGAATTGACGCTTTGGATAAAGATAGCGATTGTTTGGTGCGCTTCTTTCCAGAAGACCATTGTCAGGCAGTTCTTTACAGAGGTGGGTCCTTTTGCATGCTCCCGGCCACACGTCCCCAAGTTCTCCACCGGCAGATCGCCCCGACCACACAACCGGACCTCAGTCCATGCCCCTGCAACATATCCCAGGTCTCCTCTAATCATAGAAGGCAATAGAAAGAGCTACAGAGCCCCCAGCCTGTGAGATGGAGAGACAGGCAGAAGCAGAGCCATTTTTTTCCCGCTGGGTGGGGCTTGCTTATCGACTAGACAAGCTTGGCACAAGGAGGCGGAAGAGCACCCACGGTGGAAGAGACAGGAAAACCTGCGACACAAGTTGTTCAGGAGTCGAATGACAGTGGGCCTTGGGACCACGGACACAAACTACAATCCTACAACGAATTATTATTGTCCACATTTCTATTTACGTGATCTGCTTTTACATGAGGTTTCCAGGTCCTCGGCACACTGTCTCTCTCTCTCTCTCTCTCGCTCTCTCTGAAAGGCAGTCAACTTGCCTCTAGTTCTACAAAGCTTAGGGTCGAGGGTTGAGGGTTTTAGGGTTGAGGGAAGCTCGTCGTTTTGTAAGCGCCACATCCAGCCTGCTTGTTTCAAACTCTCATGACCTCCGGTCTCCGTTTCGGACGCTCACGGGTTTGCATCTGCGCAAGCTCTGACAGAACTGCCATAAGACAACTCCGGGGCTGATACGGTGAGGGATGGTGACGGTTCAGAGGTGAAACAGTGGGATGCCCTGCCCCAGGTTTCAGGGGGTTTCCGGCCTAGGCCACTGCTTCACATCCCCTGAGGCTCAGGAGGCCAAATGGCACTTCCACACGGGCTACAGCCTCGTCAAACGTCTCCGGCAGTTTTGTCAGTGTGCTGGGCTTTGAGCAAGGCGAGCATATGGGGAAATGGAGCGGCTTCGATGAAAGGGGCGTTCCCCACTTGAACGCAAAGGCCTGGTGCTTTTTGCCCACTGTGGTACTCGAGGGAGGTCTGCATCGCCTGTCCAAGGGCAAGAAGCTCACCAAGCAGGAGAAGGCAGCTTCAGTTTATCGTAAATCGTAGCGACTGCTTTTCAGAATTTCAGCATTTCTGAAGTAACGGCTTGTTGTTACCAGATGTCGCTCGATAGGGTTCATTTGACATGGCAGGAGCTGGTGGAAACAGAGTACCTCGAAGCCAAGAAGGCCTACCAGCAACAGCTCAAGGCCGGCAAGAGTTGCCGTTCGTTGAATGCGGCCTCATTAAAAGACGAGCTAACCATCTATATATATATATACATATATACCATGCACACACACACACATATATATATATATATATATACTCGTATATTTTTGACTCTACTGCGCGAAAGTGGACCTTGGACAAAACTAGAACAACACAGGTTCGACCTCGCACCCCTGCACAAGGCAAAAGAGCAATGGGAAAGAGCACTGGAGGACGCAGAGAAAGCATTGCGCGAGAAAGATCGAGTTCGATGGGCTTACAGGCACGGGGCACTTGGCATGAACAGCAGCAAGCGCAGCTGCTCTGCGTACTCGTACGAGCAGTCCTTATGATAACGGTTCATCGGCCCGAGTGTTGCCATAAGCAATATTTGGAGTAAACATGCCACCACATCCAGGAATTGCAAACGTCGAGGGTGACAAAGCGACCCAACCCTCAAGCGCCTGCGGGGCCAAACTTCCTTGGTCCAGGAGTTGTTGGTATATGGGAGTTCAGAAAATGAGGGACCCTCATATAGTAGCACCTGCGGTGAGCTCCTCAGAACGTGTGGTTGATTGGAGATGATATCACGTTATGTCCCCGAGCAAACTTGAACATAGGTCTCACCTCCAGCCCGCAATGTACCAAGAACCTCGCCTGGCATGGCCGAGAGTCAGCGCCGAACATAGAGCCCTGAATAAATTTAACGTGCCTTCACTACTCACATCTGTATCTGTGAGCGCATACATGTTTGCGTGCATGCATCCGTGCATACGTTCATAAACATATAGATATGGGCACCTGCTGTCGTGGATAGGTTCCGTGACTACACATATTCATATCTACACATATGTATACAGCTCCGACCAATTCTTTGCCGTCCACTGGGCATCAAGAGACGACCTACACAAGGCCAGACTAAACTGTACTGTGTTCTCTGCAATCATCGTATACTTCAGTGTAGCAATAAAGTAAGCACTGCATAGGGCCCCATTTGCCACAGGGCAGCAGGCCCAAGCAGGCACGCCCTCCTGCACATTGAGGATCTGGAGGAGACGGTCGTACAGCGACAGCCATGCGAGGCCCTAGTTGAACACGATGTGCTGCAGGACTTTGTGAAGAAGATGGGCTGGGAAGCTCTCAGACACAAAGACATGGAAACACTTCAGTCTGTGGCTGCGAGACAGGGAGCTGATGGGCGCTCAGCTTCGGGAGATCATTTGAATTTAGATGTGCTGTCCATAGCCTTCTCTTTGCTAGGGCCAGAATACAGCTGCTCCGAAGGATGCGGAAGAACTTCTTCTCGAGGATGTGCGGCAGTTTATCAGCGAGGAGATGGCATCTAAGTTTCTGGACAACCGGCTGGACTATTTCTTCAGAGCCTTCGTCTGAACATTTGCACAAAGCCACAGCGTGTGCTATCCAGTCATAGCAGGGGTGAAGCCCAGGCACAAAGACCCTTGAAGACATCCATTCCCCACGCACATGGCGTCGGAAGCTGGACCAGGATGTCTTGGCCCAGGCCGGCTTCTGTACTCCGGGGTGGAGCTCTGCCTGCCGATTTGGGGTCACCTGTAAGTGCGCCCCATCAGCCACCTGGGCCATGCTGCAGGTGGCTGAGCAGCAATCAAACTCCAGCGGCTCAGGTGAGACCGAATCCGACACTTGAAAGCTCTCGAGCTGTCCCAAGGCTTCGTTCTAAGACAGAACGACACGGGACTTTCGGGAAGCAGCTGCCTCCAGCAACAGCTGTTTGTACATATGGCCGACAGCTGATGTCGACTAGATAAAAAACTGCTGCGCGGGCCGTGGGCTGCCAAGTGCCAGAAGATTTCGCGGAGTTGCGCCATAAAGCTCTGCTAGAGCGGCCGAGGTCCTCGACCCATATGGTGGCATCTTACCATACGAGGCCATTGCCAGTGAACCTCACTGGGTCCTCCGGTCTAAGACCTGAGTCCTTGCTAAAGGACACGGAGAGCACGAAGTGGTATGGTGCTGTCGAGGCAGGGTCGAGCCCCGTGGTTTTTGACACGTGTCCGCTGCATGTTCTGGACAGAGACGAGCCACAGCTGAGCAAACGAGGACACCAATACCCTCATCAAGGAGGAACTCACCCCAGTGACTTGCACCAAGAAGCGCTAGGCTATAATCTATAGTCTTGCCAGTCTTGCCTGCACACTTTGGCATCTTGTTTGCTTCAGCTGAAGACGTGCCGAAGCAGCTTCCAAGGAAAGTTTCGATGGATTTCAATGGAGTCTTGCCTTTGATGTTCTGAAAGGCAAGCACGTTTGAGGCACTCTCGCGCACCTGCCAGTGCGCCTAGCCGAGGATCCCCGTCACACAATGCGAGGCCCGGAATGTCAATCGAAGTTTGCTTGCGAAGTGTATGGGGACTGGCATATGTGCAGTTTAAACGCAGCTTGCGTGCACTTGCTTCGTAAAGAGAGCCTCAGAGGAACAAGCAAACGTTACGGCATACCTTCGCTCGTTGAGGTCACATGGGATGTTCTGCAAGTTCCGGAGAGATCGGATCCGAAGAAAGTGCTGGTCTGGGCCAAGGTAGGAGAGGACGGAAGGATTTGGGGTCTCGCTGGCAACTCCTTCCTTGCAACACACAGAGATGGCATAGATTGTCCAAGAGCAAGAGCAGGAGAGCCAGGGATCTGGCAACGACCTGATTCTTTGGGAGGCTCTGCAAATCACAAGGATTCCGGAGTCTCTTTCCAGCGATCTCCCTGGTGCATCTTCGGCAGGCTCCAGACAAGGAGGGCCTGAAAGCATCTTGGAGGGAGGTGCAAAGTTTCGCCAAAGACGAGACTGAGAAGGCCCTGCTACAGTGCGGAAATTTCGAGGTTGTGGCGTGGGTTCTCAACCTAAACTTGCCCATCACACTCTTGGTTCGCCCCTTGTGACCAAACCGTCGTGCACTGTAGCAGCCTGTACTCCAAGAAGGCCACCACGAGCCTTCTCTTGGCTCTGTGGATCTTTGTGGATGCACGATGCGCAGAATATCAGGGTCATCGGGAAATCGTTTGAGTTGTTGGAAGGGTTTTTCCTACTTGAAAGCAAAGAAGATAGACAAGGTCAAACGGTCTCACAAAACTTTGAAGACTGCCCCCCCAAGAGCGTAAGGTTGCGCTGTGCTTGGAAAGTTTGCAAAGATCACCAACCAAGTTAGAGGATTGCTGGCTCCATTGTCTCCGGTTTGAAGATGTCGGATTGCAATGTGATGCAATGATTCACACCTTCTAGATTCTAGCGCCAGGCACCGGTGAAAGCATCAGCGACCCAGCCACCAGCCGAGGTCCTGGGAATTGCAAATCATACGCAAAAGCGCATGCCCAACAGCAACCATGGCTTGCTACAGTATCGGTCTTGTTCGTTCCACACTTGTACCTCCTCACTTCTTTCTACATCAGAGAGAGACAGCATGCCAAGGTAAGGGAGCCGAGACACTCGTTTGAAGACGATCGGCCAATGTTTCAAAAAGAACCACTGCCCAATCATTTGGACGTCTTCGGGCTGCCGTGAAATAATGACATATGTTACTGGTCGTATACTATATAGAGTATGGCGTGATATAGGACACAATAGTATAGTATATCCTAATATTTTAGCAGGTGTCTTTGCGACTCACAATCCCTGTACCTGCCAGAGGTGAACGCATCAGCGACCCAGGGCCTACAGCCAGCAGCCGAGGTTCTGGCTGAGGGGAAGTCCCTCGCAACCGGCGTTCCGAGTTAGAGAGTGGAATCGTGAAAATATGGTAAGGCCTCCGGCACCTCCAGCTCCTCTGGAGGAGCCCGGGCAAGCAGCTGTGTCAGAGCTGCGGGTGAAAGCAAAGCCCATTGAGCCAAAGAAGCTTTCAGTCGCTCGGCTAGGTTAGCACGGCTCTTTGGCTGCTCATTCTGCTGCAGCCTTCGCAGAGGTGAGCTACCAGCGACCGCTCAAGCAACCGGCCTCAAAAGAAGCCGCCTCAGCCATGACTCGATGACTGGAGTTACACGCAGGGACGAACTATATGTCGGCAATTGTCGGCATAAAATGTGTTACATGTATCTATATAGATGTTACACGTCGTGTATTTTGTGTTTCGCACTGCACTAGTACTATATATTTTTTATGTGTATATATATATATACATACATATACATATATACACATACATAGACATAAGTATATATATATATATAATTTGTGACACACAAATCGTTATATTCCATACACTGCCATACAGTCGGCATTTGTTACCTGATCTTACGCGTATGTTTTGCAAAGCCTTTACGATACGTCATAGTTTAGGTTATGTGTTTAGCGTGATGTACTTCTGTGTGTGTTTATATAATATTATACAGTATAGAATACATATATATATATATATATCTGTGTGTGAGAGTGTGTGTTTTATATGTTGTAATTACTGTATATCATGCCTGTTGCAGCTTCGCTGAGCTTCGAAGACCAGGCTCTAGCAAAGAGTTCTGGCTTCGCGCTGCCTCCACGACCTCCAAGACCGAAAGCATCGAATGTGCCCAGAGCCTTTCAGGCGAAAGGTGCCGCGGAGGCGGGGAGAGTTCGCCCAGTGGCGGAAGAAGCTGCGACTCAGTGCGAGGAGCTATCTTACGGCCCGGCGGTGATTGAGGCGCGACAAGACTCGGGCTGTGCTTCCTGGCTGGCCGTTTCAACAAGCAGCATAGTTCGTCATTCTTCTTGTGTCTTCCCCCCCGTCCGGAAACTGTTCACCTCAGAAGCCACATGTTGCAAAAGAGCTCCACGACGATTCCGTCATCAGCATGCAAGAGGCATCGGAACTCGATCTGAGCTTCTAGATAGCAGGCTGCGCAGATCGACCGTATGCCAGAGATGGCCAAACCGATGGCTGCTGGAAAGGCGGGGAAGAAAAAGTATTCTCCTGTATTCCCCGTATATATATATATATATATGCTGTATATATATATATAATATTGTAAGATGTTTGTGGCGGATGGACGCATTGAGTATCCACGCCCAGGCATGGGCCGGTGCCTTGGCGGCAGCCGGAGTTCCTTGGCCTTCTTATGGACTGCAATCAATCTGAAGGAGTCAAGAGGAGCACGGCAACGCCCTGGAGAGGGAGCAAGGCCAGAACTTGCACTCAGGTTTGATGCCACCCGAAGACCCAGTAGCCCTCCACTACTGGCTCGATGCTATCCAGGTCAAGAGAACGCGATAGCAAGCGATGCTTCCGCGCAAAAAGTTCGCTTGGCGCAGATCCGACCATTTCTGCCTGCAGTATGCCTGGCTCTGCCGTGCTCCACACACATCCTTCATGTCGCTTCGCCTGTGAATGCCATTGAGTGCCTGCACGTCCACTCAATGAGGAAGACCGTTGACATGCTTCTCAGCCGGACAGGCCCCGGCTGCGTTTGGCTCACAGCATCAGAAGCTTGATGACTGGGCCACTGGCGGAATGATGTTTTCTTGTTGCAGACCCTTGGCCGCAACGGTGCGAGGAGATTGCTTGCTATAGGTTTCGTGTAGTGTAGAACTCAAATTCGGTCAGGCGGTGTGGGATGACGAAACGTGTGGTTGTGGCTTCCGGCTACTTCAACCCTTTGCACTACGGGCACGTTTCCTACCTGGAGAAGGCCGGAACTTCATAAAAAGTCTGAGAGTTATAGTCATTATAGTCCTACTCCCATTACTTTATTGCTATTGCCATTACTATTGCAAGTACTATTATTGTTACTATTACTATTACTATTGTTATTACTATTACTATTACCATTATTGCTGTCTCTGCCAGTGCCAAGGCCAGGGATCTTGGAACAAGCCTGATCGTGATTGTCAACAACGATGGTCAGGCGGAGTCTCTTTCTTTTCCTCGTTTCGCTTCGGGTCTTGGTCCTTTGGAATATCGGCTCAGGCACGGCGTCGATCCAAGAAGCCACAAGGAGGAGACATGACGCTCCCTGCGCGCGAGCGGGTGAAGTTGGTCAGGTCCCTTCAGTGCGTGGATGCCGCCGTTGAGGCGGTGGACGAGGACGACTCCGTGGCAGAGACCTTGCAGCTGCTGCATCCGGATATTTTTGCAAACGGGGGCGGGCAGACCCCGACGAAGCAAGAAGTCCAGGTTTGTCAAAGGCTGCGTATTCAGATGGTGGATGGCTTGGGTATCCAGCTCCTGTCGCTTGCGCCGTTCACCCAGCACTACGATTGGGGCAAGCCGCGAAACGAAAGCATTATAGCTGCACTTACCGGTCAGCAGAGTCCACATCTGGTTGACGAGCCAGATGCCCGAAAGCCGTTTGCAGAAATGTGGATGGGAGACCACCCATCGGGACCGGCACGCGTGGTCAGTCCAGGAACGAGCCCTCGAAATGCGGACAAAGTGGTCCATCGCAGCACTTCTTTGCAGGAGGTGTTTCACAAGACTCCTTCAGTCTTGGGAACACACCTGCAAGATTTGAAGCAACTGCCCTTTCTGCTTAAAGTCCTGTCCATACAAAAGGCTTTGTCCATACAGGCGCATCCGGACAAAGATCTCGCATCTCGCTTACATCTGGAAAAGCCGCACATATACAAGGATCCGAATCACAAGCCAGAAATTGCGATAGCCTTGACGGATGATTTCCGGGCCCTGTGCACCCTGGCAGAAGTAGTGCCTGCAGTACCGACTCACATGTGTTGTCATGCTCCTGGAGAGGGTCGTGTCATCCCCGCTGCCCAGGTGGTTTCCGAACAGTCTCTGAGATTGTTCAAATCTTGGAGCAACTCGCCTCAAGATCCTGCCACTTAAGCCGTCGATATACATTGAGTACATGATTTCAGATGTACGGTAGTATAGCAGAAAAGAAAATGACATAGTATGGATTCATCACAGCATAACATACAGGAGCAGAACATTACGTGATATGATGTTGAAGGATTAGACACAACGTGTTGCATTTTGCACAAGTCCGAGCGCGCGAGTAAGGTATGTGCCAGAAGCCAGCACCATTATCGGGAAGGACTGCCACGAGAGTCTGAAAGCTGCCATTGGAGACAAGGAGGCAGAGTCGACGGCTACACGGCTTGCAGACAGTCGTAGGTCTACTGGTTGCCGTTTCACGTCTTAGCGGCTGCGACTTGCTTCAGATCCTGTCAGGCTCTCCAGAGTGCGTACACGCGGCTGAGACATTGCTGCAAGACGTGGGCAGTGACGCCGCAGAGCGCCAGAAAGCAGACAAACCTTCGCACCCCCTAAGGATGCATGCATCTGAGAAGGAGATTACGGATCAGCTGGAGCTGCTTCAAGCTCGAGCCAAGCCGCCGCCAGATGCACCTACAAACATTCAGGACTGCGGACTGGTTGGGGTAAGCCAGGCCATACTGGCATGAAGAGTGGATCTATGACGGTTATTGTAAGCGCACTTAGTATATCAGTATAATTTAGGGCCCTATGATGCCCTATGGGGGATATTATAAGGATAGTTACTACAGTATCGTGATGAGGGTGACTATGCGTAAGATAACTATAGCAACCCTAACGACTATACTATAATCAATATATTAGCAAAACTGGCTATAAGAATACACGAGCGGAGAAGAGACGGAGGGACAACGAGCCCGCTTTGGAGGATCTCTTCGAGCTGATAGGTGCCCCGGCTGTTCGTCTCGGGGGGGATCCTCCCTGAAGGCTTTAATGTTTCGGGCTTGAGGGTTGATGTGTGTTCCTCTTCTTGAAACTTGAAGGTGTTCTTCAAGTAGCCATGCGGTATGTACCGCGACGTGTTTGGTGCCCGTAAGGCACCACATACATGGTGTAGGTGGAAGGACTGTCAGGTTTCAACAAGAGTGGACTCTCCCCATGAAAAACAGCCCAAGGTACCTTGCAGATGCAGTACGAGAACGACGTAGGCCAGGCAGATGGTGCCGACGTGTGCTTGTCGCGAGTTCTGGTGCCAGGCATATTCGCCGCCATGTTCATGAACTATGCCCGCCTCAAAGTAGGCGAATGATGCTTCGTTCGCACTTGGCCAGGTCAGTGGTAACTTCGTTTTGCCTTGGCAGCCCAGGCTTGTACATGGCACAGAATGTCCCGCATGCATACATCTCGGGAGACATCGTTGAGCAGGAGCCCCAGGCGCACCTTCACTTCACTTTTACAAGCCTTGGTTGCTTCTGCCAAGGTGCATGGCTTGCTCGGACAATGTCGTCCGCGGTGGATTGACGCCGAAGTTCAAGGACTTAAGTGCATCGCAGTAGAGTGGCGGCGGCGCTGTGAGCAACACGTGATACATGCTATTCGTATTCCGTGGCTCTTGGTGAGCTTCCAGCGCAATGGATGGCAGGATATCGAGGTCCTGTGTAGCATGTTGCGCTACGAAGGCTAGCCGAGGATTAGATTCGGACTTTGCAGAGTCAAGCTGAGAATGTCTGACGACTCGGGACACTTGCGGCTCAGGTGGAGCTCCAGCCACGGTGAAACCCACAGAGCCTTTTGGCAGTCTTCCATAGTGTGTAGTTGGTACTGCAGAGTGGCTCTTGCTCCAAGCTTGTGTCTACAAAGAAAGCAAGGTTGGAGCCGGGTATCCGACTCTATGCCGATCCTGACATCGAGGAGACTGACCTTTCGTCTTGCATTGCCTTCCTTCGTGGGGTATGCCTTGAGCTCCTTGAGAGGAGTTCCAAGTGATACACCTACACTTGGAAGTCGGAGGCCACATGGTAGTTTCAGAAAACTAGGGTACCCTATTTAGGTCCTTATAATAAGGATCCTACTATTTAGGGTCCTATATCAGGGTCCCCTATTTTCTGAAACTCCCACATGCTTCTGAGACCCAGCTGGCCGCACCCTGCGCTGAAATCGAAAGGTCGACAACATCGGCTCTTCAGTAGCGAGGGGCCTGCAATGGCTCTAAACCTCAAAGGTCACGGCTTCCGGGCTGCAACGAGAAAGTTTTAGAATTGCGAGACCGTTCAGTGATCCTTCACGAGTACAGAGAGTTTCCACCAAGGCACCGTAACGATTTCGGGTGAGACGCGGGAGCGGCTTTTCTGTGAGCACATTACACGCGGCTTCACAGGGGCATGCAACAAAGTGTAGTGGAGCAGCGTACGGAAGTGTACGGTAGTACTCTGAGCAGGACATCGGTCCTGGCAAGGCACAGATGCCGCATGGTGTGTGTAATGCTGTGGCAGAGACCAGCCGCTGACATAGTGATCCGGCATTCCGGAACCTGCCCACAGGTCTTCATGTTGGCAGCAGGAGTGGAGCCCGAAATTCATGCGAAGACTGAGATGGACGTGTTTGTCGCCTGCTGTCCTCCACAGTGGCTTGGATTCCAATGGCCGGAATCGGATTACAACCGTGCTTCTGTTCTGAGCTGGTGTTCTTTGATCTTCCACATCTAAGGGTTGACAGCGGCCGAGAACATCAACAGCAGTAGCACAACATGCATACGCTAGCAAAGCAGACGAAGGAAGCTTGAAGTACTGGCCTTCCTGCCTTGTTCTTCACCTAGGCACACCGTTCAGGTTTTGGCGAACGAGCCCCACACCCCACACTAACCAAGGGCAACCACATCCCTTTCACGGCATTTGCAGTGAGGAAGCCTGAAAGATTTGCTGAAGGTAATGTCTTCGTCATCTCGTCAACAGGTGAAGCTAAACCTCACAGATTTAGGCCCGTTTCCGTTGTAGCTTTCCAGCTGCCGTTGCATCTCCCCGCGGCCAGCACTTGTTGTGTATCGGAATCGGTTGCCTGCCTCTGCTTCGGACAGTCTCCGATCTAAGGTACTTCCAGGCTCCACACTTCTCCCCGATGCACAAGTAAAGCAGGGGGGAAGATGACAGCGGATGCTTGACGCGCCACGGCGGTATTCGAGGTGCAGCAAATCCTTGGACACCAAGAAGGACATGGGCATGACTGCCATGCATACCGAAGACCCTCCTCGTCTCGGGCGCGTTGTGTTGGTTGCTAGAGTCGTCTCGTTGCAGAGCCGGCAGAGACAAAAAATTGCACGTGTGCTGAGTAGTGACTAGATAGAATCTCAGAGCCGTGGCTTCCGCACTTTGCTTTAGGAGCACTCAGCAGTTGCTGCAAGCGGGCAGCATCATCAGAATTCGGGCTCGAGACGAACGTGTCATGTTCAATTCGACCGCAACCTCAGATAATAATGATGGCCACGGCGTGATTTTCGGTCGAACGAGAGGATTTGTCTGGTCTCGCAGATGTTCTTCAATCAACGCAGCATTCAGGCCTGGCCTACCAAACCTGCTAGCTATCTTGCCGTATATGGACCATACCAAGCTGGACGGCACCAATCAGGGGCAGAGAAGCAGAGCTAGCCTTGTCATGGACACCTGTGCACTGAGACCTGTAAGGTCCATCAGTAGTGAGGAGCTGCATGCGAATGCCATGATAGATGAAGATGCGCTGCAAATGCCGATCCTTGGGAAAGCGCCTGACGCGCCCATCAGAAGTAGTGCGGCAGACTGGGCTTCGTTCCCGACTTCTCGGAACTACGTGACTGGGCATGTAATTCATGTCATGGAGCTTTTCACTTTAACATGCTGCTGTTATCGAGTAAGTCGAGTATACGATTAGATTTCCGAGGCCTGGGCACTGGTTAGTACTGTTCTTCGTGGGGTGTTGCCTCTCTTCTGCAGTTCGATCGAATGCACACCAGCTGCACACCTGTGCTCTACTATCGGGCGAGGTCTGCAGATCCTGAGTATGCTGGCATGGGTCGGATCTGGTGGAAACCCAGACTACGGAACTGGCTTGACTGAGAGCTTCTGGAGTCTTGACGAACCCGATAGACAGTAGAAGACAGCTGGAAATGGGTGCCTGCATGATGCAGAAGAAGCTCAGGGTTTCCTACATATTGCTCGTGGACATTGGCACGCAGACAGGCTTTGCAGCTGGCGAGCCTTGCATGCATAGACGATTCCGCGGTTTGATAGAGGCCGTGCCTGGAATTCCAGTGCATGCCATGCAAACCGCTGAAGGAACGCGGCGTGGTCAGAGGAGTTGCAGTGGTCATTTCGATAGCTGGCTTCGTGCTGCTCGACCGAGAGCTGCGAGAAGCTACAGTACCAGGGAGAGGAGTGAGCTGATTTTGCGAATTCAGGTATTGCTTGACGTTTCTGGGCATGGCCTGGGGCTCAGGATGTGATAATCCGGTGGTGCTCCCAATTTTCAGCCCCCCCCCTGAGCCAAGCACATGAGCTGCTTCTCAGGTGGTGGAGCTCATCCGGTCCCTTCTTCTTTTCTGGAAAGACAAATACAGCAAAATCGATGCTCAAGGCCATTGGTTAATCCTCGGTTGGGGGGTCGGGGCCTCGAACCCTGTGAAGAAGCCGAGGGCTCTCGCATGAGTAGAAAGGACATCTTGCTCGCCCTAAGGATAAGACACTTTTCCTGTTGGAGGAGCTGTGACCATGCTGCATCGTTGATTCTCCGTGTGCTAGTTACTGCATCTTTTGCCCTAGTGCTCCGAGATTGACTTCGCGAAGCAAGTCTCCGCACAAGGTTGGAGGCCGTGAGCAGCAAGGAGGAGGCAAATGCCAGATGCTGGTGTCCGCATCGGCAACGAATCGCCCCGCATCTCAAAAGACCAGTAAAAAGCCGGTGTTTTAAAGCGTCATGGGAAAGCAAGACGAGGCAAACACATGATCCGTTTGAGGTCATACTCGCTGAGAAAGGTGTGCGCGAAATGCAGCGTGAAGTCCAGGTAGGTTTGTCGCAGCACGAGTGCTGATGTAGCTTCTGCATAGTGGCATCTCGCTCTGTTCAGATGCATTTTCGGACCAAAGACCTGCAAGGCCAGCAGAGGCCCAACTTCTTGAAGTCAGGTAGTTGAAAGCCTCACTATGCAGGTGCATACCGGAAGCTGCGGTGCATCTCCTACCGAGAGGGCTGCAGTGCCCACCGGGTCGAGCTGATGAAGGCAGGGACCGCCGCAGACTGCTCTGTTATGTCATTCTGCATGTTTTTTTATTATGGTATGATATTCTGTCCTGTTGTACTATGTTATACTATATTATGTTTCTGTTATTTTGTATTTTGCCATGCTGTCTTTTGGTGTGTTCATACTATACCAAAGTTTGCATGACATCATGGTTTGTTTTATTTTTACTTTATACTTTTACTTCATATTCTTTGTATCACCCTTCAATATATTACATCAGTATATGCTGGTTTATGCTTTATTATGTTATGTTATGAGCTGCTATATGATATGTGTTACTATGGTGTGGCTTGTTTCGTTGTCTTCGGTTAGACTCTGTTATGGTCTGTTATGTCATGCTGAGGTATTTCATACAGCTACTTGTATTAGTCATTAGTATGTATTAGATCCAGATATACCATGCCATGCTGCGTGGTGTTATGTATTCAGATTGTATTTACTTATTATGTAAATGCGGACCATGCACCAACCTCGCTTGCGTTGCCGAGTAGCGAGAGTTTAATTTTTACTCATTATGTGAATATGTATGTATGCTATATGTTATACAGTTTATACTGTCTGGTGCGACATATGTCATCATGTGTCATATCTTGTAGTTCATAAATGTTTGTGTTTAATACCAAGCTCTATAGAGTATACATCACCCGTATACGTGTACATGTAGATGCTTTATCCGATTTCTGTGCATACACACACATATATATATATAGACAGATGTGTACATAAATGTATATAGTGCGTGTGCATTTAGTTTCCGCATTATACATTGTATACGTGAGCGATCAGCGGACAGCTAGAAGGTGGACGCACCGCTGGCCGAGCACATCCTGATCATGTGCACGAATGAGACGGACATCAGCTCGGACCATGAAGATGCTTGCCTCAGACTGGTGTTCGGGCGCTTTGGGCAAAGGTTGAAGATCGCACCAGAGCCGAAATCAAGCCCACCAGGCGATCCGCACCCTTCTCGCTCTGGGTGCGCCTGAGACAGAGACGAAGGCGGATGTGTGGACAGCCGCTAGGCGCGATCCAGATCTTGGTCAAATCCCTACCAGATGCCGTAAGCAGCTTCGTGTCTTTTGCAGAGCTGGGGCAAATAGGAAGAGTGTTGCCCTCTACCTGCGAGGGACCGTGGATTTCCGGCAAAAGAACGGGATCTTCGTAGCAGAGGGAATGATGGAGGGCATGTCGGGAAAAGGCGGAGAACGGAAAGGGGACCTAGGCATGCGGGGACCGAAAGTATCAAAGTCCGCAAGGGCATAGATCCTCCGGAAGCTTTTTTCCTCCTGAAGCACAACAAGCCTCAAAGGCTTGTCAGGACCACCTGGTAACGCCAAAAATGTCCAAACAGTCTCTTGTGGAAGAAGGCTTACGGGAGAAAGGAAGGCGTTTATGCTGACTTAATATTTATATACTTGGAATATGGCGTACAATAGTGAACAGTGACAGAGCCTATGTAGGAGGATCGTATTGGTAAATATGAGGAGGTGATGCTTCGATTCGTTAAGGGCCCGTGCTTGCATGCTAAGGAGATGCACAATCGTGAGAACGCCCGCATTGTGCATACCATCCTTCCATCGGCACAAGGCATCGTAGCCAGGCATGCAGTGGCTCGGAGAAAGAAGCTTTCGAGAGCATAGCGGCAGGCATCAGTTCCTGCTCAGGAGTCAGCCCGTGTGAGCTGATCAGGTGAATCGCATGATCACTCTCCGAGCGCTGGTGCCATCCGTGGGCTATGCCTGGCTAAAGATGTCCACCACCAGTTGCTTGTCTTAACGAGCACGGAAGAGCTTCCAGTCTCAGCACATGAATGCAAATGTGGCAAAGGATCGGGCACTCAGCTCTTCCTCGTGCGGAGCTCTGAAAGCTGCACCGAGATCACAGGAAGCTGGAGTAATCTCGTATTCTTCCCAGGTGCCCGTGCCAGAAGCCCTTATAGGCCTCCAGCTGCAGGATCGGCACAAACTGCGGAGATGTTGTGACAACCACTGGCTCAGAACTGTCTCTCCTTTCTACGAGTGCGCGAGATGCCAGGATGCCCACTGCTTCTTCCCATATGCCGTGGTATGTGGGGTGAAGCAGGGCGCTGACCACAAGAGCACACCTCTGAAATTGGGGCAGCTTCCGCACATTTTGGAAGAAGCTTGGCTGGTGCAAGCATGTTCCACAGTGACTCTCCCTAGCTCCGCTTTCAGAGTGTTGCTAGCTGCTAGCTCTTCCCGACGTAAGGAAGGTGACGAGCTGGTCATGCTTGCTTCGAGCAAGTTCACTGCAGGCCTTGATGCAGCCTTGCCTCGCAAGAACCCAGAAACAACCTACATGCTTGCCTCAGGATGCTGCGACGCTCTTGAAGGTGGCAAGCGAAGTGACTTCAGGCAGACGTATGAGACGAAAATCTCGCCAGAAGTTGAACGAAACACGAACGAAAAAGCTCCATGATTGCACGTGGCTGTAGCTGGTTCTTGTTCAATCCAGTCAGGAAACAGAGTTTTGCAGATGTTGTTTTAATAGGCTTTTGCAGCCCAAAGGTGCGGAAAATGCACAACAGAGTTCTCATGCCGGACGGCCAGATCCGTCTTGGGCCAGCATCCAAACTGCATCCAGAGTGGCCTGGTACACAAAGCGGTTTATCAGATTTCACAAGGAAGGCCTTGTCACCTGCAGGCAGCAGATGGTCCTCAAGTTGTGCTCGTTCTCGGCTGCACCTTGCTCAGAGAGACATCGGGGTTTCATCCTCCAATTCCCCGCGCCTCGGCAAGGTCCTGATGATTTCTGTGACATTCTGGACATCATTGACGGCTATGTGAGCTCATCTAGCACCTTCACGGCACACGCGGTCACGCAGCCCGCCCGTAAGTCCCATCACACATCTTGATCCAGGCCACATCCACCTTCTCTCCACTCGACCTGTGCAGTGGCACTTGGGCTGCAGCAGGCAGAAAGCAACTCCTTTCCCTTGAGGCAAGGGGTTCGAAGCCAAGCATTCTGCAGTCGTGTGCGACATCGCTTGGTGCTTCTGAACGGCAAAGTGGAAAGCTAAAACCCTTTGCATGGTCAAGCATGCCTAGCGGCCAGCCGAGCGACCCACAGCCAAGCTGTAAGGGCGGGCTTTCAGCTCTCGTCAGGCTACAAAAGACTCTGGTCCAAAGCCACTACTTGTACCAGTAGCTGTAGTTCTCCGAAGCCTCACAGCGACTCAAATGCCTGCGTTCTGAAGAGTTTCTGATGATTCTTGGGGGCTCTTTCCCTTACTTGCAGCATCCTTGGATTCCAACGCTCGCTTTTGTTGTCGTCGCGATGGGATTTCAGATGCTCCTCTCGAGGCGACAGACACAGCTCCGGCTGAACCTGGCCAGATTGGGAAAGCTCTGCTTTGACAGGACGCCAGCAGATGGTGAACACAAAGAGCGCATCCGGGGCTTTCAAGCTTGGGCAGACTGACGAAGATTCGAATTTGAAGTAGAAGCGGAACAGTTCGACTGTTTGACAGCCTCTGGCTGAGTGCGCATTTGTTCCTCGTCTCCTGCAGGATCACCGTCACCCACCACGTGGGCAGTCGACGAGATCCTGCTATGCTGGAGAAGCTTCCTCTTGACATCGTCCCATGCTTACGACTTACGACACCCTAAAACCGTAGAAAAAGCGAAAGCCATAAAGCACTATACTAAACCCGAAACGGTCTTTTGAGCCAGCGTTGGGGTCGAAACCCGAAGCGTTCTTGTGTTCTCTGCAGACCTTACCTGAACCTGTCCAAGTGCAAGTGTCAAAAACATCGAAAACATGTAGCATATGATGGTACAGTCTTCATACAATATACCCTTATTGTGGTATAGTAATATTGTAGTATAGTATTTGTATGGTATGTCACAAGTGTAGTATATAATAGTATAGTCTAATTATGAAACCCGGGCCTTGAGGCCGACTGCGCTTTGGTTCTTTCAGAGCGAGAAGATTTCGGTGAGAATGCCATGGATTCGGATGCCAGGACAGCCTTGCATCCCCAGACAATGCACAAAAAGCTGCTTTATGTTTTTATTTGTTTAAATGAGCTTTAGAATGAGAATATGTGTGTATATGTATATTCTATGTACATACATACTGTTTTATGTCCAGTATGAGCGTTACTGCTTTACAGGGCTCTGGAGAGTTCGAGCGGCGGCCGGTTTGGGAGCCGCTTGAATGAGGGTTTACGCGAGGGATATTCTTGGAAGGTTTTTTGAGAGCTTCTTAGGAATTTGATGAGTGTATGTCATGAAGTCATGGGTACTAGTAGGGACTCCTCTCGAAGTATCGCGAGTTTCAGCTGGATTTGCGGAATGCATCATTTTTCTCCCCTAAGTGTGGGAGACAAGTTTGAGAGTTCCTGTTTGGCGCGACTGTGTATTGGAGGAATCTGACGATTGCGATCAACCTCAGGTATGCAACTTGTCCTGCACTTCAGCTGCGCGGCGGAGCTCAAATCCCCATAAAACCCTGAACCCTAAACGACTTTGTCAGCTGGGCGGGTGGGAAAAAAGCCCTAAACCCTGAACCCCTGGGCCCAGGTCCTGGATTGCAGGGCCGATGCCATCTCTCAGCATCGGCTGAAAACTTACCGCAAGAAATGCAAGATCGTCACCGACCCCCGGCCACAGAAGCACGAGCCCCTAGGGTCTATAGGCATGTATAGGAGAGAGCATACCCTAGTGAACTATGCTATACTACTCGTACGCTTCCGTAACATAGTGCAAGACAGTACCTTTGTTTGAGGGCGAGGGCTCCGTAGGCCGGGGAACCGAGGAGATCCAGGACCCGAAGAGCCAGATCGTGTTGGCGGAAAACAGCAGCGTCCGGAGCCTTTTCCACATGGAGGCTTTCCTTGCTTCGCCGAACAGGCCCTCCTTGGCAGATGATACACCGCTGTTTTTTGCGCACATCTCAGGAAAACAGGATCTTTCGTATTTACCTCTGCCACCGAGACCGGCGTCTTTGCTATTGTGCTTTGGATTCAACAGTCAAGCACATGTGAATTATTGGATTGGGTTGTGGCAACTACAGGCGGTCTCCTGCAAAGCCGTGTACGACCTTTTTACGAAGCTGATTGACCCTACCACCAATACTGGCCATGTCGTTGCCGCACCGATTCAGAAGTATGTGCGTGGAGCTTTGGCTGCACATTCTGTTCTGCACAGCCATGCTTGAACTCCATGTCGGCATGTTGGCAGCCACCGCGGTGACTGCAGCTTTTTCAGCACAGCTAAGGAGAAGAAACACTGTCCTTCTTTGACCCCCGTTCTAGTTGGCATAGTTTTTCGAACATGATGATGAGTTTAACGTCGAGCTGCTGTCCGTCAGAACTAAGCTCGGACCTGCCGAAGGACCTTTGTGGGAGAGTCATCGAGAAATGCTCTGGCACCCTGCTGGGGTCGTTCAGAAGCAAGGAGCACTCGCCTCACGGATGAGAGCATATCTTCTCAATCAGAGCCGAGGTGGCGCCGCAGTGATGAGAGACACCCAGTGCTAAATCCACCGGAGAAGGCACGCACTCAGCGCGCACTCACAGGGGTCCCTAGACAAGTGATGCCTGCTGCTAGGATCGACCTTTGCTATGGCAAAGCCATGCCGCAGATGAGTTGATTATTCTTCTGCCTGCCACACAGGCAGGAGAAACTACATGCAGATGGCTGACAAGCCGTGTGTATATATCAAACCAAGACAGGCCGACTCTGAGGAGAAGCACGACCCGGCCAAGCCGGAGGCAAACGGCAAGAGGGCTTTGCAAGCCAGCGCACACTGGCTCAAGGGGAGGGGATTTACGAGTGGCCTAGTCACAGTCTTTGTCAGGAGGCTTCGGATTTGGCAAACCGGCTGCCTGCGAGACGCTAGCTTCGCAAGGAGTGGATCATTGCAACTCCACGGGAGATCACTTGTTGGTTCCAAGGTTCCTCGCAACAGTCCATTGGGTCCGGCGACGATCTGCAGACCCCATTGTCCCCAAGCCGGAGAAGCATGAGCGACCTTGGCATCCAGGTTCGCATGGCTTCGTGTTCGAGTGACTTCGCATTCCATATGTGCCGGGAGGCTGATACTGCCTGGATTCCGGGAGCTCTGAACTGGCGATCAGAGGAAGCTTGTCCTGCGGGAAGAGAGGGCCCAAAAAGCGCGCAGCAGCCGGGGGTGTCTGGACAAGTGATGGAAAACTACCCCCCCGAGGAATCGGGGCAGGGCCCACAGGGCTGGGGCGGAGGGGACAGGGGCGGGGGAAAGGAGACCCGATCCTGGTCCGAAGCCGAGGCGAATTTGGATCGCAAATGGGTCCGCTTTGCCACGCTTGTTTGTTTCTTTTCTGCGTGCATATGGTCGTGCTTGATTCATTTGGGCACAACAACTGATTTCTATTCTGTGCAACTTTTTGGGATTTTGGGACTAGCTACCAGGATTGACAGTCCGTGCAATGAATACAACTCACGCAAGACACATAATCCAAATAATTCAGAACGCACAGAATAGACACATGTTTCCGGAAATTTTATTGAGACATGTATACAGTGGAATCATGGCCAGCATTGGCCAAGTTCGTCTTGTCCATCGTGGTTCTTGGCTTGATGCCTCCAACCTGACTAGCTTATGATGCAATCTCTCTCTAGGCATTTTGCCTTGATTTTCTGAATTTTTATTACGATATTTTATATTCAATGAAGGATATAAATGAAATTGCTATATAGTCAATATAATTCAATAATATCGTAATAGAGATAGAGTGAAATTTAATTTAATAATAAATTGATATTTATCTGCAGAAAAATATTTAATATATATTAGAAAGAATTGAAATATAAGAAATTCTGAATTGAAAAATTTATATGATAATTATTTAGAAATCTAATCTTCTAAATTAAATTATTATAATGAATTACGCTTTATAATGAATATTTATTTTGTTATTGATTGTTTTTTAATAATAGAAATATATTTGATATTATAGAAATAATTGAAAATAATTTATTATGATTTCAAAAATACTTGTACTATGATCGCCTCGAAGAATATGAATGGTTATATTATTATGCAACTATTGCCAAGCAGGATGCCATATACGAGACCCTGATAAATCTAGATGATAGGAGGCTTCGAATTGTAGATGTTAGCTTCAAATAGATGTGATGCGATTTCTTTGGGCGATTCATCTACGAGCTTTGGGTTTGGGTCTTTGCTAAATTTCGGAAAGCTAGCTTAAATTTATAAAAGATCATAATTTCTATAGGAATTTTGCTAAAATTGAATTCTAAATCTCATAAAGATTATAATATATATATATATCTTACTAGATTTCGGAAATCGATAGCAGCAGATTTGGGACGATAAGATCAGATGATCCCCAACGAATCGACTTCAAAAATATTGCGAAGATTCCTTATTGATATCATGCTAGATAATTCATAATTCAATAAGTAATAATATCAGAAATCTCAAAATTCTTGGGAATTTTTGATATGCCAAATCAAATCTTCGAATAAATCTTTCGAATAATTCGGAGAAAATTAGATATAATACTAAAATTTTTCGAATAAATCTTGAAAAAAAAAATCCTAAGAATCTTGATCAAAATCCAAATGATTCAAAAATTTTCGAATAAATCTTGAGAAGAATCCTGAATAAAATTAAATCCGCTAAATGATGATCCCATCTAGAATGATAAATATTCTATAATTAGATTTCTAATTCCTAGCATGAAAAATCAATTAAAAAATTATCATTGGTAAATTTCATATGGAAATTATTCACTAAAAATTATTGAGATATTATTTTAGAATCTATTATATAATCATGAATTATATTTAGGACCTATTATTGATATTCTTCAAATAATGATATATTTTGATATATATATATATAATATTAGATTAGAATATTTTGAAGATATATCTAGAATATTTGATAATATAATTTTATTCAGAGAATAATTAATGAATTGATAATAAATGAAATCCAATATAAGAAGTTTATGAATTATAAATATGATGAATATTTTTTATTTCCGAAATTTCATAAAAAGATATCTTTAATAATAATTAAG